TTCACAAGGGCTGCCACCTGCTGAACCTGTTCCCATTTAATATTTTGGAGAATGCAGCAGGAGGAGCTAGAAAGTACAAAGGTGGACAGGAACAAAGCTCACAAGTATGGTAGGGAGATCTCACTGGTTGGCGTATCGAAGCCAGGGACTGACCCAGCTCATCCCCAGCTATGATTCCACATCTGTCTTGGGCACACCAACGGGTTTATCCAATTGGTCGCCCCGTCCGCTATTCATATTTGTCCTTCCTGCTTGCCTTTTCACCCTGAGGAACCCAGAGAAGAAGCCACGTGCAAGCTCCAGGTCAGTCTGTTCGGAGCTTACACAGGACAAAGGCCCCCCTCCCCCTCCACACCTAGCAATCTGATCATGACAAAGAAGAGTCACATGATCCCGTTCCCAAGTATTGGAGAATAGGGCACCGAGATGGTATCTGCAGAGGAATGGGCGGTCTATCAAGTGAACCTTCCAGGACAAAGTATAAGCTAAACTCAAGTCAGTCATGAAATATTAGTACCCTCCCCCCCCAAGGCTAGCAAAGTTTAAATGCCGGTTTGGTGTCATGGTAGGATTAAAGTAGAGGAATACTTACCCTTCTCGATCTCCTGCCTTCCTGAGCTCTCCTCTATGCGGACAGGCCCTTGACATCTTCACCTACAATGCAGGTCCTCATGATGTCAGAGAGCGGCTTCATGGGACCAGTCAATACTGAAACTGGCAGGGAGGTACCCTGCAGGACCGTGATATTAAAATGTTTCTACATTACAAAATGGATTTTGCCCCGAGAAATCATTGTAAAAAGAGTCCCATCACCCCCTTTAAGTGTCAAAATATTCTATTATGTTTCTTTGAATGTCATAACGACGGCTTTGATCTCTTTAAGATGTGCAATAATAGGAGGGCGTGGTCCCTTTAAGTTATGATAAGCAGTCACATGTATGTTTATATGATTGTGTAATAAATGTTAATAAACGTGTTCCCGTGTTGGTCTCCGAGACCGTATTAAATACATTTGATCGCTGAATTCCTATTGGTGGACTGTTGTGTAAATACCCAAAGTCCAGACATTGGACCCGTTCCTTGAATGGAGCCGGGGGGTTAGTGGTGAGCCATGGGGGAGTTATGAGATGCGTGTGGTTGGCACCGGACCTCAAGGATACAGTTGTTACTTCTACACGTTCTATGAGAGATATAAACTCGCCAATTTGCCAACCTGCCCGGAACAGTTGAGAGGCTGGAGCTTGGCTTCCAGGACCTGGAGATGGGGGAACCTGTTTCGAGGGGGACTCAGCACCTTGCCTGTCTTTGTGTTTAGGACCTGGAGACAGAGGAACCTATTTCGGGAAGGACTCAGCACCTTGCCTGTCTTTGTGTTCAGGACCTGGAGACAGAGGAACCTATTTCGGGAAGGACTCAGCACCTTGCCTGCCTCTGTTCTCAGAACCTGGATATGAAGGAACCTGTTTCGGGAAGGACTCAGCACCTTGCCTGCCTCTGTTTCCAGAACCTGGATATGGAGGAACCTGTTTCGAGAGGGAGGCAGCACCGTGCCTGCCTCTGTTTGCAGAACCTGGATATGGAGGAACCTGTTTCGAGGGGGACACAGCACCTTGCCTGTCTTTGTTTCCAAAACCTGGATATAGAGGAACCTATTTTGAGGGAGACACAGCACCTTGCCTGCCTCTGTTTGCAGAACCTGGATATGAAAGAACCTGTTTTGGGAAGGACTCGGCACCTCGTCTGCCTTTTGTTCTCAGGACCTGGAGACGGGGGAACCTGTTTCGGGAGGGACGCAGCACCTTGCCTGCAAAGACTCAGTAAGCAGGGCGAGCAGACTACGGTGCACTTCAACCACCGGTGGTCTCTTATATGGGACTGGGGTGCAGTGAGGACCCAAGAATACGCCTTTTAAAGGTCCAACAGCTCAACACATTGTGTAACAGGGATCAGCCACGAGTAAAAGGCTCTCATACCCTGTACAGCAGCAACCGAGGATTGATAACACAGTTATAGCAATATAATGATATAATTGATGCTGATATGATAAGGCCTACAAAGCGGTACAGCTGACGTTTAATCTGCCTATATGTCACCTTCACTGGCTCCTCCCCTTCCCCCATCATCAACAAAACAGGTCACAGACCGCATCAATGTTTCCAGGTCACGCAGGACCCCTTCATCAGGCATGTGATGATACCAGATCACATGACTGATGAAGACACTGATGTGACTGGCTCAGTGTTCTCTGTACAGCACTGCGGTATATGTCAGTGATATATACATGTATAATTATAGTGTGTGACCG